CAATTGCTTTGCTACCCTATCTTGTTTCGCCTGTTATGAAAAAAATAAAATAAATGTGCAGCTCAATTGCATGCCATGATAGTGCTTTGATTAATATGTCTGTCATTGTTCTACGTGATATTCCTATTGTGGCATCTCATGCTTGTATCATACTGCATGCGAAAATAAAATAAAGATTGACAACAACAAAAAAATCTGGCCCTTTAATCCCTTTAGAGTTTTTGTTAACCCCTTCCTGACCTCTGATCACTGCATAATGTGTGAGATCTTTGCCTTACCTACACTGACCTATTTTTTTTACCCCACTTATGTTCAAAAAAAAATCCTTTTAGTGCTGATTGCACCATTTTATTCTATAAAATTACAAAGCTGAAAAGCGACATGCGTCCATCAAATTCAGCCTTTCTTACATCTGTTTTTGCTGTTGATCCAAAAGAAGAATAGCTATTACCCCACTAATTAAAAAAAATATATCCTTTAATATTATGTTTTTGCAAGTATTCATCCAATTGCTGTTTAAACATCTGTACAGACTCTGATAAAACTACCTCTTCAGGCAGAGAATGCTACATCTTTATTGTTCTTACTGTAAAAAAAAAAAAACACTTTAATTTGCCTTAGACTAAATCTACTTTCTTCCAGTCTAAATGCGTGACCTCGTGTCCTATCTAATCCTGTTTATGAATAAATTTTCAAACAATGGTTTGTAATGGCCCTGAATATATTGACATAACGCTATCAAATCTCCTCTAAGGCAATGTTTTTTTCCAAAAGAGATTTGAATTTGTTAACCTTTCTTTGATCAGTCGTTAATTTTTCTTTTTGAGTGTAAGGTTTTGTAGGTAGAAGTAGGAACTGGGCGCTGGGTTGAAGGATTATGCAGGTAGGAAAAAACTTATTTTACCCCTTAACAACTCTCCATGGCCTATAACTACATTGCGAAGGAGGCCAATGCCATGCTGACACGTGAGTCAGAGGAGAGTGACTTCAAAGACCTGTCTGACAGTGAGACACTTACTGCGTCAGATGTAGAGCCAGAAAATCACTTTGTCAAATTTCCAGGTAGTAAGAATGAAATGGGCAAGCCCTATATTTGATCCTGTAACTTTCCAAAACCCTGTAAAACCAAGACACGGGGGTACTACTGTACTTGTGAGACATTGCTCAACACAAATGTGAGTGTTCTACAGATGTAAAAAATATAATGACGATGACGACATCAGTAAAAGTGCAGTTTGTGTTTACAAAAAGGCAAAAAACAAATATGAATACTACATTTGGCCAGGGTTTTTGGCTACGTGGCTACTAAACTGGACATAACCCATTTTGAATACCCTGGGTTGTCTACTTTTGCAAATGGTATGCAATGATGGGGGTAATTCTCATTCCTGGGCTGCTATACCCAGCAAACCAATCTGGCAAATTTTAATGTGTAAAAACTAAAATGGGCAAGCCCCATATTTTACCCTATAACTTTCCAAAATACCATGAAACGTGCTCTTATGACATCACAGCATGTAAATGTGTGTATTTTATTGCAGTAAGACCTAACAGTATTATACTACAGGCTGCAGTGTTTATGGTACTTGGAGTGTTCATTACGAAAGAGTTCCAGTAATCCAGAAAACATGTAGCTGTTTTAGGTTTAGCTGTACTGCCCTGAGATTATCTACTGTGGACTGAACAGCTTTCTGCTGAAAGGTGAAATCTGAACAAAACCCATTGTGCTGTGTTCTTGTGCTGTGCAGGAGTCTATAGAAGGCAAATAGAGCAACAGAATTGGTTGAGAACGTCTCAGCCACTTGCTGCAGAAGCTGCACATTTTGGAAATTTGCAACAAACAGGTATGTTTTATCACTTCATTATTTGTTTTTGCAATGTAACGCATTATCTATATGATGCAATAAGAATGGCATTATATGAAGCCAAAAGGGTTGTTTTAAAACTCTCCTGCCCAATACAATCTGTGTCCATCTTACTTTTTATGACTCAAAAATGGGAACTGAAGGGACGGGTTATTTAAAGTATTCAATTATGTGCTTGAATTAAACAGGAGGAATGCAGGTTAACGAGACAAAGCCTTGTAGGCCTATACTGCAGTAAATAGGTCAACGGAACAAAGTTAGTAACAGTAGCGCTAAGTGGGTTAATGTAGCACAAATGTGCAGGTTTGCAAGGAACAGATTAATGGGGCAATTTCTCTGCACAGTGGAAAGTTTAACAGCTGATCTCTTTAGAGTACTTATCTTGATATCGGTTTCTCCGTAATTGTGTGTTCATATTTTGTCATCGCCTCAATCAGTGCAAGCGATCTTTGGGGTTTTTTTTGTTTTTTTTTCTTGTCTCCTTCACAGTTTTAGCTGCAGTAAAGTACCATACACAAGTCAATAGAATTGCATGAATCCAATAGAGCTATGTAGACATAAAGGGAATACTTGATGATGCGATCGAAACAGCTTGTTGGGAGTCAAAGTCAAAGATATTCAACACTTATTATTCGGTGTCAAGTTAGCAAATAACTAGTTTAAAAGAAATCTCGTTCTAAATATGCTTTTGCTTCAGGTTTAAAATCTTGATTTTGTATTTGTATTTTTTTAGATGTTCTCTGCTGCTTCAAATATCCAGTAAATAAAAAAAATAAAAACAAGCACCTCTCTGTAGGACTGTAATGATATTCTTGCACACTCTGGTCCCATTAAAATTCCCTGTTTAATAAAACAAAAAACATTAAAACCTCAAAAACATATTTGAATTTGAACTGTAAATTAATAAGATGTCACTAATATGTTAGAAAAAGGTGTTTATTAACAAAGAATAAATTGTCAAAAACAATCAAAAACAATATTGTGTCTTTGGGTTTGGCTCCTGTTTTGTCAAACACTTGAGTGGCTTGATAACAAATGAGGAATTCCCAGCACTTAGAGCAGGGATGTCAAACTTTTTGTTTCGGACGGCCAAACTTTCCACTGAAATAGGTAGGGAGGGCCAAATGTCTAAAATGTACATACATGTGCATACAAGAAAAAGGGAACTTCGCATAATGTCATAAATGTGATTTATTACTTTCTTAAAACAATAAAAAATGTTTTTTTGTGCGTGTAGAGTTGGCGTTTAAATGTAGTTGTTTGTTTGTATGTCCTGTTGCCATTTGAATGCAGCGATACACACATATAAGTAACAATTAACATAGTTTTATCTTCCCTCCCCTTTCTGTATGTGCCCGCTCCTGACTCCCTGATCTGCCTCCCGCAATATAACCAATGTTATGAACAATGCAAACGAAAGAACCCAACTTTCCATGGAGGCAAATTGACCTTTTTTACTCTTTTAAAAGATTTTATCTTCTGTACCTAGTCAAACAAATCTCCATACGTTAAACATTCATTGTAAGTGATATCATTTAAATTGGTTCATTTCTAAAAAAAAAAAACGTTATTGACGCCTCAAACCCTACTCTGAATTTTGGTCCACCCTATATTTGAACAAATAATAAAAGGAAGTCAAATTTCTCATTATGAAATAGCACAGGAAGGAGTGATCAAAAGGGTGCCTACGAACCTGGCTTTTTTTTCATTTCTTCTCAAAAAGCAGTTATGGTACTTAGAATGCCCATGTTTGATAAGCAGTGTTATGAGTACCTCCAATCTAAATAATATATCTTCAAACTTGGCCATTCTTTATGCAATGTATTAACATTTCCCATGATGCTTTTAGGAACCGCCCTATTTTTGCTAGCTGCATCACCAATACACTGACATGGTATATAAACATATAAAGTTCCTAATCTCAGGAGATTCTTCAATGAGCTTGTCTAAAATAACACACAGCCGTCAATGCGGATTCTACTCTGAATAATCATGGCAAGGTTAGCTTTATTACCACAAACTGTCAATAACATTCCTTTAACAAGGCAGTTATGATTTCAAAACAAAATGATATTAATTAAGATGTATATGTATTATTTCCTTAACAAAAATTTATATTGCAAAAATGAATCATATGTAAAAAGAAAGAATTATGAATAATATATATTTAGATTTTTCTGAGTGCTCTTTGTAAGGAATATATAGTTGTAGTTTACACCCAAATAAGCATGACTGATCTTTTCATTTATACAGGAGCAGCTTTACATTTGGGAGGATAATGTAGGTCTAAACAAAATTGTGCGAAAGGTTAAAAAATATTAGGAAGCATGTTTTAAAAGGACCTTGAAGAAGGCCGTGCTCTCTTTATGTGCTTTGCAAATTCATACATGAAAAAAAATGTCGCTGTGCAGTATGTTAGACTAAAGAAGGCTCTTCCCTTGACATGGGATGTCCAAAACCCCTCCAGTCTTTTTCCTTTTTAAGGAAAGAAGTCAGAGACGGCTAAGGGAGACGGTGAAAAGTGATCTTAAATCAATTCATTGGGCTAAAAATAGGCCATTTGTCATTGCAGAGTGTGATTGCAGACATACCGACAAACAGTGGAACATGAAATGGTCTTCCAAAAGAAATACCGTGATGTCAATCAGGTGCAAAACAAACCTAAAACTATTTGCAAGGCAGCGAATGTTAGCATAGGAATAGGAAGGGTAATCACTTTGGTTTGCTGAGCATACTGTGAGTCCTCAGAAGCAGGAGGTTCTGCTGTTGTCTACCTACTAACATTTCCCCACATCAGCTGTCCTGCACTAGACTGCTTGGTCAAAGTACACATCATCCTACAGTATGTACAGACTGCAGATTGCGGGTTGTTTTAAAAAAAAAAAAAAAAGAATTTGGGGGAAAGTTCTAAACGCAAAGCAATGTACAGGAAAACATCACACTGATTTCCGTGGTTATCTTTCCACTTACAATGTTGTCTCAGTGCCACTCTCATTTTTTTTTTTTTTTTAAAGTTCATTATATTTTATGAAACGTAATGATATATTTATCTTTAAATAATGTGTATTTATTATTTTATAAGTGTCACTTAAACTGGCTGAGTGGCCATGTTGGGTCAGAAACTACTGTTATCTGACCAAATGCTGCTCAACCTAACTTGCCTGCTGCTGGGGTTTCACACAGAGCAATTACAGCAGCAGGCAAGTTAGGTTGAGCAGCAGTTGGTCAGATAACAGTAGTGTTTCACAGTCAGATAAAAAAAAAAAAAAGTGAAATCTTCTCAAAATAAATCATTATACATCAATTATTAATATTATTAAAGGATAGCTGTCATTACTATTTTCACGTATGGTCTTTCGAAAGTGTATAAATTCTATCTATACATTGTAGCAGTTTTTGCTAGAAAATGTATAGTTTGGGAGAAAAAATAAACAATACATCTAAAAATAGGTCTTTCTCCCACCTCTCAAATCATCAGCGGACTATATCGACGATTTGACCTCACACAGGTTTTACTTCTGCTCTCCAAAACATAGCAACTGCCGAAAATGCGCTGTGGTTTCTATAGAAACTCCCAAGCCAGCTCTGTTGGGGCTAGCTATGGAGTATACGGAAGGAGTGCCCTCTGTTCTGACGCAAGCAGGGTAAATCATACCAGACAGAGCATGTGGGGATCGAGAAAAAAAAAAAAAGGAAATATCCAGGTAAAGGCTCAGAGAGGAGCCGAAACATTGTCTCCACTTCCTTGTTTCAAATAAAAAAAAGACTGCCTTTTAGAAGAAGCCTCAGGTGTCCTTGAATATGTCTTTTTTTCCCCATTTGATATCTTCAGGGAGTGGCCCTACCTTTCTGGAGCACCCTGCAGGAAGATATCTTCAGGGAGTGGCCCTACCTTTCTGGAGCACCCTGCAGGAAGTATCCCTCCCCCTCCCCCCCACCCCCTTTTTTAGTGTGTGCATTTTACTCTTGTTTTTTGGTAAGAAACAGAGAACATGGCGGCACTAAAACAGAGGTGAGGTGAGTACATCTCAAACTTTTACATTGAATACATAATGTATTTCTTTGATAGAAGATGTAATCAATGTGTTTGGGGGCGGGTTAGTTTTACATGACCGGTTCAGAGTGAAAATGTGGTGACGGTTCTCCTTTAATACCCATACCCCTTGGTCTCTGTTGTCATTTCCACCAGGAAGATAGGTCGCTGGTGTGAGGAGCACAGCTATTAACACTTAGGATCAAATAAACTTTGCATCCGCCTTCATTTCAGAGACAGCTTTGCCGAGTTGTTTATCATGTCCCAGTTAATTAACTTAGGTAATCATTCCAGCTTGCTGACATAAGTTATTTGGATTACAACAAATCTCTAGAAATATAAATAGGATAAAAGATAAGTATTTTGTTGGTAGTAAACTAGCCTGGATCTACATACTGTACCAGAAAAGGGCTGATCTAGATAGATTATGCACATCATCTCTACAATAGTGTTAGCTAGACTAGTCGGTCAGTTCATGTTCATACAAATGACTTGCTCTACAACCAACTATACCATTATATGTTCACTGTAAGGTAAAGGAACACTATAGAGTCAGGAACACAAACATGTATTCCTGACCCAAAATTTTTAAAACCACTATCTAACCCTCCTGCCCCCACCAGCCTTGATCTGCCTGCTTGGATGACATCATCAGAAGTTGGGATCTGAGCCATTCAAAATGCTTTCCCATAGGATTGGCTGAAACGATCAATGAGGCAGATAAGGGGCAGAGCCAGCACAAGTCAAGCACAGCACTGGCCAATCAGAATCTCCTTAGACAGATGCATTGAAGTCCTTAATAAGCTGCCCATATACTAAGAACTTCTTCCAGGAAAACAGTACCTTAGCAAATATATATGGATTTCTGATTGTAGAAGAAATTAACCAAGATCAATTCTACTCTGCAACACAACACTAACAATTCATTTAAGAGAGCTTTGATGTACCATATTGAATGGTGTCTTAGTTTAAAAATGACCCTGTATGTCTGTTTCATCGCTGCCAGTAAGATCAGGAAGACAAGTGAAGCTACACGCACCGCTTCAACTGGAGAAAAAACATTACCTGACACTTAACCTTTAAGCCAAGACGAAGATTGCTTAGCAACGTTTTTACGAAGCGTCTCTGTGTGGGGCACACAATGTCAGTGGTAGAGCTGCACTATACCAATAAGGATGCTTAGATTTCTGCATGAGGTTGTCACCCCATGTCAAAGCACAGGGTTGCTGTCCTTCCTGACAGAAAGAAAGGTTAACACTTTGTGTCCTAGGAAATTGTACTTACCTTGATAATAGAGACGCTTTTCATTGGATAATTTTACGGACTCAGGTGGAGGACGGAGGGCAGGCATTTAAAAATAATTTCGGAGGGGTGAGAGCTTCCTTCATCTTGGGTGGGAGAGAGGGGAGATGATAGCGTCTCTCCTTGCAGGCAGAAGCTGTTACGTCTGTATTTTATGCAGAGAATTTACATCTGGAAACCCAGAACAGATTTCTGGACTGCCTAAATCTAGTGTGCTGGGGTGCAATTTGCCCCCGGCACAAAAGTGCAAATTACTATGGATGCGCAGTGTTTCAAGACTACTACCACCATGACCACACCAAAAAGCAGAAGTGGTCCTGGTGGTTGGACTAACCCTTTGAGTGAAAAACACATATTTCCCATCAATTATTTCACTAAACTTTGTGTTTAAAATGAAATTAAGGAAAATTAATATATATAAAGACTCGTGAGTTTCTGTCTTTCTAACTATTTTTATTTTTAAAGATAATACATTTAGAACAATAAAATGTCATGACAATAGCTAAAGCTTTCCAACATCAATGTACGTGATTGTTAATAATCTCTTGAATGAACATGTTATATATAATTTATGTATTTTAATCTCAATTTTTATTCTTTTGATCCATAAATACCTCCACTTACCGTTTCAATGAATAGGGCTGCACCATATATTTTATTTAAACCATGGTAAAGTGTGCCAAATGAGAGACTGATTTAAAAGCCATATCAGGCCATTTAAATGTCTACATAAACTAGTCTGATGAAAAAGGAAAATTATGATACTTTCCCTTTAAATAAAAATCCTTGATAGCATTAATTTTGTTCCCCAGAAATGCAGCTTCCTACATATTCAACATGACCAATCTCATTTTAAGAAATGGAACTCTTTCTATCTTGCAATGTATAGTAATGTAATGGAGTCCAGCATTGTAACAACTATAAGTGGGATGATTATTCCCTTTAAAAGTTTTATTGATCTGCAATCCTTTCATGTCTACCTATGACTCCATTTGTTCTCTGCTTTATGCGCCGTCCACATTCCCAGCTGCAGAGCTGACAATACAGCGATCATACTAAGACGATCATACACTTGAGTCTGTACCTTCAAAGATAAATCCAGTTTATTAAATAAAATATATATGATATTTACATAGAAATACTGGCACTGTCAGTGCTACAACAGTTTTAGATAATACAATTCATCTATACACTGGCTTGCAAAATAGCTAGAAATTGTAGAGATAGAATTGTATTCAGTTTTGGTTGTTTCAAAGGTAACTCCAGGATTCAGTTAATCTTTTTGTCAAAGCCTTATGGAAATTACCCTTTAAAGTGCCACTACGTTGGTGTAGTTCACAATCACCATAAAAGTGTGCAATAAAAATAGCAAAAAAACAAAGGAAACAAATGTTTTCTTCTATGCTGTTGATCACCCAGTTGCAAATAAAAAAAACAAAAGAAAAAGTTGTCCAATTGAAGGAAAGTCAGAGCTCTCCCATGTAAATATATGGTTGCGTGTGTGGGAGGATCATGTGGTACCCATGTGTCACCTGTAATATCATACCGAAAAGCACACAATGCTTGTTAAATCGTATCTGTTTGCACTAGATTTCAATGAAAGTAACAGAGTTATGTTCAGTAGTGCAGAAAGCACTGGCACCGATATCAATGCAAGCACTACTGGCTCTATTGCCCATGGTAGACCGGAGGGCTTACACTAGATCTGTAGTCTTAATGAAAGTAGTGCAGTTTCAATCTACCTTTTGCAATCACCATGCCTCTAGTAGCAGACAGGCAGCCATTAGGGGCTCCCAACACAAAAAGATTCAGTTACTGTTGTTGTTTTGTTTTTTTTTAAATCAATTCTGCCATGATTTTACACAAGTCTGTTCTGTCGTGAGCCTTTATGCCAGTTTGAGTTTAACCTGGCAATCATGAGATGCCAACATTCCTTAAAGGACAACTTCCATCACCTGAAGCCTCTCAGAATGAAGTTGTGAAAGTTGGGGAATGAAATACCAACTGCAGCTAAAATATCAGTGGTTGAGTCTGATCAAGATATGACAGCCTGATAAAGGTAAGATTCCAGTGGGTGTCTACAGCAAGTCACAGGATGTCAACATCACCACTGTTAAATATCCTTGAGGTTTAGCTTATTGTGAATTTGGAAGCTGGAAATTGTTTTTAATTCTAAGTAAAACAATGGACGTCTATGGTATAGAAGTAAAACAATGGACGTCTATGGTTTCCTCCCTGTGAAGTCATAATCATTGTCTGTATAATGCTTAGTGTGAGTGTGCACTAATAAATGCACTCACAGCTGCATATGCTAGAGGACTCTCTATCCAGGTGGAATGAAGCCTAAACCAGCCTGAAAACAGACAGGGTTATTCATAAACATAACAAATGCTAGACATTTAAAGTGAATTTCAAAATAAAGGTCAGAACAGCCAAATCAGAAAGCTTGCCCAAATCAATCCTGTTCTTCAATTTGAATATTTTGGCCTTATATTTTCTAATTCACTTTGACCCTTTTGTAAATTCTCACTTTACTGAATATCCCTGATTATTTTCCAAATCAGTTTTCCTAGTCTTTGCTTTGTGTTCGAGATCCTTTAAGGTGGTGTTGGCTAAGATATGACATTATATATCACAGCATGTTCAAAGCTAAGATTGCCAAACAAAAAGCACTGCAAGTGAAGTAAGCAGGAAGGGGCTCCGTGAATGCTTTTCTTTATTTGTGGTGTGAATGGCAGAGTGGCTGAATGTGTATGAGTGTGTTCGCACTGAGTGTGCTACAGCACGGCTGAGTTAATGTCTATGTATTTTTCAGTAATGGGCCTGTAAGTGAATAAGTGCCAAAAAGATTGGGGTTTTTTTGTGTGTTGAGGGTGATGTCTGAGAGAATACATAAGA